AAACCCCTTGGTTTGTAAAATATGTATTTATGAATATATGTATGTGAGCAGGCAGAGATACTAGTAACTGATTTCGTATCACCCCTCTCATTTTCTGTATTGGAAACTGAGTGATATGATGACTTAACATTACTTATACAGCAATGCGGATATACACGCGGACAAAATACAGAAAACAAAATATGTAGCTTTTGGGAAGTAGTTCGAATTTCCTTTCGAAAGTCTGTTTAATATTTTATTTTTATGATAACATAAATATAAGAATAAAAAAAAGGTTTTGAATAGTTGGAAGATGGGGACAATATTTTTAAGAAAGATTTTCGTAAAAGGGAAACAACTCTAAGTAAAAGATATTTTAAAAATTTTATAAAGGTATTTAAGAATGATTCATATGTCAATTTCCTTTTTTATGCCCCCGGATCGAAAGATCCCGGGGGTATATTGTTTTTGTCCTGTCTGTCTGTTTGTCTGTTTATCTGTTTGTCCGTTTGTCTGTTTGTCCGTTTGTCTGTTTGTCTGTTTTTCTGTCTGTCTGTTGTCAACTTTAACCTTGCCCATAACTTTTGATTGGTTGGAGCTATGACTTTCATACTTCACATATTTGACCTTTTGACCTTGACCTTGGAGTTTGACCTACTTTTGCAAAATTTTATGAGACTTTAACCTTAGCCATAACTTCTGAACAGTTGGTGCTTGGGGTTTCAAACTTCACATGTGTATTCTTTGTGACAAGGCCTTCCTTTGGATACCAACAACTTTGACCTTTTGACCTTGACCTTGGAGTTTGACCTACTTTTGAAAAACTTTAACCTTGGCCATAACTTTTGAACAGTTGGTGCTTAGGGTTTCAAACTTCACATGTGTATTCCTTGTGACAAGACCTTCCTCTGGATATCAACCAATTTGACCCTTTGACCTTGACCTAGGAGTTTGACGTACATTTGAAAAACTTTAACCTTGGCCATAACTTTTGAATGGTTGGAGCTAGGGCTTTCATACTTCACATATGTAATCCTTGCGACAAGACCTTCCTTTGGATACCAACAACTTTGACCTTTTGACCTTGACCTAGGAGTTTGACCTACTTTTGAAAAACTTTAACCTTGGCCATAACTTTTGAATGGTTGATGCTAGGGCTTTCTTACTTCACATATGTAATCCTTGTGACAACCTTCCTTTGTATACCAACCTATTTGACCCTTTGACCTTGACCTAGGAGTTTGATCTACTTTTGAAAAACTTTAACCTTGGCCATAACTTTTGAATGGTTGGTGCTAGGGCTTTCATACTTCACATATGTAATCATTGTGACAAGATCTTCCTTTGGATACCAATCACTTTGACCTTGACCTTGACGTTTGACTTTTATTCAAAAAACTTAAACCTTCGCCATAACTTCTGAACAGTTGTATCTAGGTTTTTCAAATTTCATAGGTGTATTCCTCGAGACAAGACCTTTCTTTGGGTATCAACATTTCTTATCTTTTGGCCTGGATTTTGACTTGCATTTGAAGAAACTTTAACCTTCGCCATAAGCTGCCATACGGGGGCATCAGTGTTTCACAAACACATCTTGTTTATTTATGAAAACGAATATACGTACAGAATTTTTAAATGTTTTATATATGAATTTTGTTGAATAACCCATATAAGGGATTTAAAGAGTTGTTATGATATTTAAAAGATGTGCTTGCGCTCTCTCTCTCTCTCTCTCTCTCTCTCTCTCTCTCTCTCTCTGAAGATAATAACAAGATTCTGTACATCAGCAACATTAAGAAGATTTACGATCAAACAAAATCAAATGGCCATTCTTTACTTTATTGTAGGCGAACACGCACACACTTCAAAAGCTCGGCTCCGTCGCGATCACAAGAAGCCAGCCCTGACGAGAATGATCAAACTATATCTTAATTAAAACTTATTTCACTGATACATCATCAAAGTCAAAATTTTACCTGTCCTTATATTAATCTCATCAACTTTCCTGGATTTCAAGTGATTTGATATTTGATGTTTACAGGGAGATCCCTTTGATTGGGAGATCATCGGATCGCAAGTAGAGACATAACCCTCCTTGTTCTGTCATAAAACATGTATGCTTTCAATAATTATGTATCTGTGATGGTTAGATATGTATGTACATATCGATTCCATGGACATTTCTAAGAGGAAAAATCATAGTTCGTTTACTGTTGAACAGTTTGACGATGCTGTGTCATGTATACCGGTGGTAAGAAATGCATTTAGAATTCAATAAACTGAGGGAATTCATTTGAAATTGAATTGAAACAATTGTTGTTTTAATTATTCTTTAACGATGATGCTTTACTTTCAATCACAATACGCTTTTTTCCTGTATAATATTAATAACGTAAATTACTATTTATTTGCAAAAAAATATTTTTGCGTAATTACGCAAGACTGACTCCTCGCAAAAATTTCATTCTCGCGTATATTTTTAGCATAGATTATCTACGCCAATAACCAGATTTTGTGAAAATTTTGTCTCGCTTATACGAAATACCTATCACGAGAAAATAAGGTGTCGCGTAAATTTGGTGTTCAACAGTATGTTCATTAATGATTAAATGATACAAAGTGTAAACCTGTACTTGGTATTAATTTGCATTGTCTTCTGTGTGCATGATTGCAACTTCCAAAAAAAAAAAAATCGAGAGAACGACAAAGTACAGCGTTGCATTAAAAAAAAAACAACAAACTCTTAATCATATCCACAACATGAAATAGGCATTTCTGAAAATGTCCATTTTAAAAGTTCTAAATTATAATCCCCGTTTCGTGCAGTCTAAGTGCCGTTCTCAGGATTATGATTTATCTTCTGGTTAAAGGAATATTTCTGCGATATAGATAGCCATTGCCGGGACAAAACATTTTTGAATTTTTTGACTTTGTCCATTATGTATCATCTCAGAACAAGACACATTAAGCAACTTTGGGCTAGGCTGAGCTTCTATACTACATGTACATATGTATTTACGCATTAAGGTCATAAGCAATGTGCATATACTTTACAATGTACCTTTCCCATTAATAGTTTTCCGATGAAGAAAAAAACAATTTATCATCAGATGTTCTTAAACAAAAAATCAGTTTATATTTCCAGGAGTTTTGAACAGGTATCAAATAATGAAGATCATTGTATTTTTAAAAGAAAAATTGGGGGTGGGGGGGATAAATACTGAATTAGGTTTTAGCAGGTACTAGTATTTCCTCAAAATTTGATTCAGAAAAGGTGTACAGCATTACCAGGAATCATACAATCTCACGATTCTACTTCAATTATTCATACAGGGGATAAGAAAATTTTAAAACTACGTTGCGTATGTCCTTGAAATGGTGTCCAGAAATGATTTTAACTACAAATTTTGACCTATACTCGGCACTCAGGGTAATTGAGCACTGAGGGATCTTTTTTGTGCCAGCACCTACTGTGACACGGGACCTCGGTTTATATGGTCTCATCTGAAGGACCGGTCTCCACGTCCCGCAGTGGGATCGAACCCGCGACATAAGGATTAACTCCTTACATCGGGACTCTAGTGCAGATGTGCTCTAACCACTTCGCCACGCGGGCGATTTGTGCTTGGTATAAATGTCTATCCTAATATTTCTCCATTACATTAGTCAAAATTTTAAAACTTAAGGATATGACACACTCTCTGATCATAAGCATTCTTTGTATCAAGTATATATGAACTTCTGATGCCTCTCCATTTAAAAAAAAAATCACCCCGGCAAGAATTTTGCACTTTGGAACCCTGTGTCCTTGACTTTATGGTAATGACTTTGTTTCAGGGTCATGACAAGTTCTCTGACCCTAATCAGCCCTTGTTTCAATTATCTCTCTTCCTTAAAAATTAAGTAATGGCCCAAACAAGACTTTGGCTAAGGGTCATGACACAACCTCTTCTCAGTAGCAATCTTTGTGCCAAAGTTTTGTCTCCCTAACTAGGGTCAAGTCTGTATGTTATGTGTCATTAGTAAGGAAATAGAGAATTCATTCAAAAACATACATGAGAAGAAGACAATTGTGGCCTTCTCGATATTTAGTTAAGAGTGATCGAAGACGTATTATCAATTAACAACAGTTATGCTTCCATTCATATGTCGACTCGATAAATTATATCCCAGTGAACTTAAGATAAAAGATACCACAGAGTCTGACACATATGTTTCATATTTGGATATTTTACTAGAAAAAGACGTAATGGTTACCTAACAACAAAGTTTTATGATAAACGTGATGACTTCAACTTTTCTATCGTCAAGCTTATGTAACAATATACCCTTATCACTTGCAAATGGGGTTTATAAATATCTCCCAGATGATTCGATACGCAAGAACATGCTCCACGTGAGGCAAGCTTTTAACAAACAAGTTGATGAAACAAAGGTATCAACAGTCTCGTTTAATGTCATCATTTCGCAAGTTCTATGGTCGGTACATTCGGTACAATGACACTGTTAGCAAATACAATCTATAATTAAGTCGTATGCAGACTGACGTTTTTTTCATACTAATTGATAGGTCTACGGATTTTTTCGTTAGCCCGATCATGACAATGAGCACACGGCAGTTGTGACCGGTCGACAGGGGATGCTTACTCCTCCATGGCACCTGATCCCACCTCTGATGTTCTTCAGAGGCCCGTGTTTGGTCTGCTCCCGATTTGTATTGTTTCAATGGACTTTTGAGTTTGATTACCAGGGGTCCGTGTCTAGAGTCCGTAGTCATTTTTTTTGGTTACTTTACAAAATAAAGTTAACCGCTCAAAAATTTCAGGGGATCTCACCCAACCCCCTTAAGACCTAAATTTTCTTAATAATCAACCTTTTAGTCAGTCACAAACCCTTTGTGTTTCGTCTTTGCAGTAGAACATAGGCGCATAAATGACCGGAAAATTATAGTTTGTCCTGATCTCGTTTTAGTTTTACTTACATTAGTAGTATTTCCTGTTAGTGTATGACATAAATAGAATAAAAAAGCAAGGACCAATATTTCAGTATGAACCAAAGAAAATGACGAAATTGTATTAAAATTTAGCGATTGGTAAGTCGACATATCATAAAAAGTATCTGTATATAAAATTTCAGTTGATGACAACTTACACTAAAACATTTATATGTCTCACTTTTTAATGGGGAACTTAATTTCGAAATAATATACACAGTATCCTCTTATTATGCATAATATTTACATTTCATATACATGTATTTAATTTGGGATAAGCAGAGCCAAAGTTTTATGCGATGAAGTTATGATGGACTAGAAAATAAGTAGCATGTCTTTTGTAGATTAAACTGAATCTGAATCATGTCATCCTGCTCAATCTGCCTGGAAAACAGAACCAACCCCCGCTGCTGTGTACCTTGTGGTCATGTTTTCTGCAAAGATTGTATTGAATCTTGGTCTGAAAACGCTAGAGAATGTCCAGACTGCAGAAGACCCATTGATAGTTTGCAGTCTATCTTTGGTTTGGAAGAAAGAAAACATGATTCTGGTACATGTGTAGCAAATTTACTGACTTATCAAATGAAGCAAATTACCAGCATGGAGCTGGTTATTATTATTGAAAGGATCTTGTATAAATGTATTTTTTTCTTTTCAGTTATAATTAAGAATGTTTCTTGAAATCATTTGAATATACATGTAATGGAAAAATGCCATGGGCCAGAATTGACCCATTTCCTAATTTAACACTTTCTTTCAAAAGAAAACACTGTACTTACAAGAATGAAAAATACTTTTGTATTTATTTAATATTATGCAAAACAATAAGATATAATTGTCTTTTAGATGAAGCTAAAAATCAACCGCCAGGATACCTAAGCAATCTCCCACTATGCCACAGGATTCCTCTGCAGAAGTATTGGATGTTTGTTCTAATTGGGATAATCACTGTTGGCTTTGTGTTCTACATGGATCTGAACTCTTCCTCCAGTTATATTACAGCAATACCAAGTGCAATTCTGAACTTCTTGTGGGACATCATTGAATTACTTGCTTTGCTTTTGTTTAAATTGTTTATGTTTCCATTTCAGTTTTTGTTGAATATCAACAGTTATTGTGACTCCTTTTCTTCTGCCCTGCATCATTTGTTTTGGTTCTTGATTTATGTTTTTATCATCGTTTTTGTTGTTTGGTATTGTATAAACACAGTTAAAGTTACAAAAGCTCGCAAAGAATGGAAAAAGAAGCGTCATTAAGATTTTTTAATGCACGATGAATTAATGTTAAAATTCCTATAAAGTGATTTTTTGTTGGGTTGATCAAATCCATGACATTTTGATGCTAGCACAGTAGCAGCATGGTTAGTATGGTTTATCATACCCCTCTTGATTTTTAATAGAAATTTAAAGTTTACTTCAAAATTGCATCCCTGTCCCTTAAATGTGCATAATTCCAAATCATTTTAAAGGAAAGTCTATTTTTATTTTAACCATTTCTTTAATGAACTGCTTCTACTTCTAATTCTGTCCTTTTTTTTTGGCATGTACATGTATTATAAAGATAGAGTAAGTTAAAAGAAAAGCGAGGTCTGGATCTGACTTTTACCTAGCTGTAATCCTTTGCTAACAGGTTTCTCATTTTGTTATTTAAACCTTTTAGCTTCTATTCATTTTTTATAAATGTGTTTGGCATTGACATTGTATATCAAATCAGTGAAAGTATATGTATGCTTACTGATATTTGCAAAAATATATGATCATTTTGCTGCTCTTTAAAAATAAAATTACCATAGGATATAGATGTACAGTGTTTACTGCAATAAATTGTTTACATATATGTCCTCATATATATCAGTACACTTTTCTTTGCTTTTGAATTTCAGATGTTAACTACGTACTAACTATTAGTAATAGATGTCTCAATGAATAGGCAAATTACCGGTAGCCATTAAGTTTGTTCTAGGCAAATATATTACATGTATATATTAAACACTTAAAGCTGACATGAACTCTTAAAAATGTGATATTTTCATCCTTGTACGACTTATTTCATTCCCGCACTCCCTTTTCCGCCATATTTCTTTCAGATTCGCTCACTTATTTTACCGGCTATATAAACCCTGATGCCTTTTTTACACTTGAGTGATTTTCTAGCCTGGCTGTCGGCATGTACACATCTCCGATAGCAAAGTTTTGGAACACGCCATGAACTGACCGAAAACGTAGGCCTGTATCTCCGATAAAGCAGTTTTGGAACATGCAATAAACCTAACAATCCTACCAAAACTAGGAATTTTACTGAAAACTGGAAAGGATATATAAATTTTGAATAATTTTGATGCAATGCATAAAAATCAAAACGGCAAATGCATGTTTGATATACATTACATATATATTTGAACAATAAAGAAGCGACCACATGTATTTTTTTCCAAAAAAAACCCCACTGTACTGTTGAGCTTTATGCATGCTACACGGTATAAGCACATACTATGCAACTTACGCATTGAAGTAATACATGCATGCATGCATGGCGAGAAAACGCGTCGAACGCTTTATACTCATCTGCCTGAAATACAGAGCTCGCTACAAGGATGTGCACATGTCGAAAGAATTACTTCCTATTTTCCTTTTATTGAAATATGCATCACAGAAGAAATAACTCCATTTATAACTCAACGGTAAACAAATTGTCACTAGCTCTTGAACACACGTGGTCCGTGCCGATCAGCATTTTTGGTCAGGGAAAATATCGAAGGTGGAAATGACCTTGGTATTTGCCTGATTAGACAATATAGTCACGCAAATAAAACGTTTCAGAAATCGAACTAACTGTTGTCAGTACATGTAGTAAATTTGTTCATGAATGTGGCTTTATTACAACAAATTTATTACATAAACATACATTCTTGTTACGGATCTTACATCTTTTAAGAAAATGAAAGGGGGGGGGGGGGTATGTAGAATACATTTTTCAATATATTTTAAACAAACGTCGGAAAAAGGTCGGATTTTCCTTGATCAAATATATTTAAATACTTGCAATGAACTGGCCTCAACTATTTTAGATATAAAACTGATATATCTTAAATTAACACACACTGAACAATTTGTTCAAATCAGGGCCCTTTTAGGCGTCACGAATTACAAGCACGATTGATACAATTACCAACAAGCACAGACATAATTATGTGTATATAAAATAATCTACAGTACATATTTTTGTATATATTGAAGTTGAGTAAGTATTACACTATTAGTATATGTCAAAGTAATATTGATAATTGAAATATTTCTACCGTGTACCCAAATGTGAAGTGGTGTGATTCAACAATCTTCGAGCGCATTGCCAAAGATATCACGAGGCGATGCAAAAGTACTAATTATTAAATTACATAAGTTTTTTTTTTTTACACATATTTACACGTTTTAGATATTTAAAGAAATTTTGTGATGTGACTGAATGATTAAAATATGGTTGCGTGCATGTGTATTATTTCTTTAAATATTATATAATTAATAGTCAAAGTTTATAGGAAAGAAAAACAATGTGCCCCTGACAGTGCCCCCCCCCCCCCACACACACACACACACAAAAGTTTTTTTTTTATTTTGATTTTTTTTTTCTTGTCTAAAAAATTTCTCGTAGGAACCCTCTGTGCTCTTCGGAGGTATAAAGAAACAAAAAACTGAATTTGTTTCCTCTGGAAAGTACACGATAAGGGTCCACATGTTTGATCCACCCTGCCCCAGAGAAATTCCTCAATCTGCCCTTTTAAAGACTATATCGTTTCCAAGATTTTTACTACATCGGATTTTATATGCATTATTACTCTTACATATGTAAATATATGGATGCTTACATATAAGAGAGAGAGAGGGAGAGAGAGAGTATACTTGTATGAAAATGCAAAAAAATATTTATCTATAACTTTGCGGTTTAGGTTTTAAGTAATCCTTAAACTATCTTTTAAGATTTTCTCAAAATACAAGAAATTGAATAGGTACCCAATTTTAGACTACCTGCGGAAACTCTCCAATCTGAAAAGACTTTCTATACATGCATATAAAACAGGCACGTAGCACCGTTTCTCAAAATGTGTGTATGCGAGGGGGAGCGGGGACAGTATAATGATTGACAAGCAAACGAGAAACTTTAGGCACTTAAAAATTGGGGGAATGAAGAAGGAAAACAGGCATTTAAAAAAATCCGTAGTCAGGGGAGGGACAGATTCTATTCATACTATCATTTTCGGCAGAAAAATATTTGAGTACAATGTACAATAATGTTGGATTAGAGTTGGGGGGGGGGGAGCCAGTCTTAAAATAAAAAAAATCCCTGTCGAACACGTGGGTGGGGGATGCCCCCTTTTTCCGAGCATAATGTTTTACTGTTTAGTATGAGATACACACTCAAAGGCTGATCTCCTCCACTTTTTGTTGCACTATAGTCAAATCCTTGAAAAAGTTGCCCCTCCCCATCCATAATTATTATAATTTTTATTATTAATTTCTTTTGCTTGTCAAAGATTTTTCAGGTAAAGTGTGAATTATTTCTTAGATGCTACGTGCCTGAAAGACACTCTGAAAAAAGAGAGTACCCCCCCCCCCGCTCCACGTATGTGTATATTTGTTAATTTGTGTTCTGGTTAAATGCTCTCATGTCGTGTTCTAAATCATTTTTTACATCAAATTACTCAGTTTATTTTTCAGATAATCAGCAATCAAACTTTTTTTTTTTAGTGATTTCTTATTTTTTACCCAGTCGTGCTAATACTAATTCCCTTTTTTACTTTTGATATTTTCCCTGACCAAAATCTGATCAGCACGGACTAAGCGTATTCGAGTGCTAGGCTGTACGATGAAGTGACAATGTGTTTACTGTTGATTATTTACGGAGTTTATTACTTTTTGTGATGCATATTTCAATAAATGGAATACAAGGTGTAAATTATTCGGCATGCGCACATCTTCGAACGGGTACAGTGGTCTATTTCCAGGTATGAATAAGTTTACAGTGTTCGACGTGTTCTCTCGATATGCATCAGTTGTATTTGAATGCATAGGAAATACGCTGGTGAAGTGGTGGTTTGTTCCATTCTTACGATAGATTATTGCAAATTGTTTGTACGAGTTTTACTGTGTATTATTTCAAGTTTATTGTGCATATATTGGTATGCTTTTAAAAAACACGCGCAACTATGTTTTTTCTTCCAAACTTGCATTTATGTTATTCAAAACGATAATTATTCATAATTATCATTATTACTGTTTTTATCTGTTCTGGTTTTAAAATGTTTTCATCAATTCATGTGTTTCCAAATACTTTACTATCGGAGATGTGCACGCGTCGATAGCCAAACCAAAAATTCACTCAAGTGTAACGAGGGCAATTGGGTATATATCGTTACAATAAGACAAGGTATCTGAAAGAAATATGGCGGAATAGTTGGTATGAAACAAGTCGTACATTGATGCAAATGTTGCATTTTTAAGAATTCATGTCAGCTTTAATTTTTCCCAAAGTGATTTTGTGCAATAATCTATTTTTCTAGCAATGATCTGTTTTCTTCCCCAGTACCTGTACTTCATTTTTCAGTTGATAATTTTAGAAACAAAAGCATTTAACAAATAAAAAAAAAATGTGTTTTATCATCAATTCTGCCATATATGTGTAATTCTCAGGATAAAAAGTCTTGAGGTGACAAAGTTTAATTATCAGTGCAGCTCTATAATTGATAAGAGACTTCATTTATGTTTCCATGGACATGAGTTTCACTGCTGCTTTGTTGAGCTCATTAGTAAATTGTATGAACTAGAAAGCAATTGCTATATACATTATCCTTGAAAGTGCAAGAGCACTGAAAAGGGTAAAAAAAACTTCTTTTTTTATTTTTTTTTATTTTTTTATTTTTATTTTTTTTTTGCTGTCCCAGTGTCAGCTTGCTGATTAACAGTCTAAATTATCTTTTCTAAAGCTTTTACTTCAAAGATTTTTTTTAAAAGGTACAAAAAAGTTTTTTTTCTATGTATTTGGTGTAACAATATAGAAGCACATTGCATAAACATTGAAATTAGAGCAAAAAATATATATACTCATGAAATGTTCTAGCTTTTGTCATGGAAGAATACATTTTTATATATTGGGACTACATTTCTCAAAATGGGCACATTTGGTTTATGTACATTGAATTATTTGAATTGAGAACTGTATGCATGGCAAATAAAATAAAAATAGCTTTCATGTACAAAGTAAGATAACTCAAATACAGATATTTTGAACAGAGGTGAATGTCCATAGTTACAAGAGAAGTGCTTTCAACTATTAAATTAATTAAGGTAATAAGAACAAAATGAACTGATAAATTTGGAGATCCAACAAATAAAATACCACTGTGATAAAAATAATTAAAAAATCCTGAAAATGTGCTGTCAATTTGGATCCAAATATACTCATTGATAATGCCCCTCTGATTTCAATTGCAATGTATGCATGTAATTCATAACTACTCTTTATGTAGCTGAATCCTTCTCAACAGTTTTCAAATGTTTTTCATTACATACAGTTATTGTTAACATTATATATTTCTGTAACAACAAGTAACATTGAAAATAAATTAACTAACACAAAATTTCTAATTATGCATATAAATTCTATACGTAATTGTTCATCAGCTCAAGTTAAACCATTTAAAACCATTTCATTAAAAAAAAGAGTAAAAATCTTTGATGACAACTTGATCTACAGAACAAACTTAAATTCTTTTTTTTTTTTTTTAAAAATCATAAAATCATTTTTGAATCTAAAAAAAAATAGAGTTAAACAATTCATTTGGTGATTCTTAATCAAGACCCATACGCATAAAAAGAAAAACAATTAAAAAGCCAAAATGAAAAATAAATTGAGACTAAATAAAACTAATGAAAACAATAAATTGGCACCATTGTATGCTATAAAACTTGAGCAGGAACTGTTTCTTTGTCCTCATCATCTGGAGTTTCCTCTGTCACCAAGTTTTTTGAACTCTTGGATTCTGAGATTGTCTTAGATGTGTGTGTAGATGAGTCACTTGAAGCTTTGAAACTTTCCCGAAATTTCAGAGGTTTGGGGTTTGTATTATTGTCTACTGCGTCACATACCCTCTGAATCAGTTTGTTAAACGGGTCTGGTTTATCGGCGTAGACATGATGACCTGCTCCACGTACAACCTATAAAAAATAATAATCTTTTCTAACTTGTATAAATACATCTCATCTTATAATTAAAATCTTAATCTGTACAAAAAATTAAAGCTAAGATGCTGAAAGTATTAAAATGATCTTTATTGAAATTTTACAAAACCCTTAAGAACAGTAAGCAATGCCTGTAATGTCTCTGAGTTTATGTGAACTTTGACCAATAAGGTAATATACAATAAATCACTCACAGCCACTTCTACAAAGCTTTCATTCCTGAGGTACTTGATGTGGTAGCCTGTGTTACTGTCCACCCAGGATTTGGACCCATACACCAGAGTGACCGGTACATCCTTCTTCAGGTCAGGTAAACGATTGATCATTGGGTTTTTAGCCCAACCAAACGAGGTATTCAAGTTTTTGAAAGCTGTCTCACCACTATAAAGAGTAAGTATAATTAATCTTATGGACTGCACTGAATTATATACAAGATGCACAGGCACCTGACATTACTTATTTTTCTTTTAATAAAAAAAACATACCCCCTACCTAATAATAAATAGGTAGGGGGTATATTTTTTTATTAAAAGAAAAAAAGTAACATCAGGTGCCTGTGACAAGATGTATCTTGAATACCAGTATTATTAATCTTAAATATGAGTGTTCACTTAATTAGTACTGCACTACTGGGTAGCAATACTGTATTTAACAAGCTTATATTAAGTAAACACACTTATAATGAATGGACTCTTACAGCCAAGTAATTTTCATTACCCATGGCTTTAAAATATATTGTGAACTGAAATGGATATAATGAATTACATTTATAATGAAGCAGAAACATCCATCTCTGGCACTTTGTCTTAAACAATAAAATGCTTTCTTTGGTTGTTAGTACGAGAATTAATGTCGCAGCTGTTGCAGAAAAAATACATAACCCGCATAAATTAACAAAGAAAGACATTTTATTGTTTATATAAATATCTGTACGTGTATAAAAAAAAAAACATTCAAAGTAAAATCAAAAATGTATTAGAGATGTATATGTCATTGTAAGCATAATTGGTAGAACAGCCGTTGCTCAAGAAATCTATGTAGGTGGCTTGCTTAGTGTCATTTACTGACTGATAAACAGCAATGGTTTTCATAAGAAATAATGGAAATAATATTCAGTGGATGTAAATTCATAAGCATATTTTACAGAATATATTTTCATTTTCTGCCTTATCCTAATTGTAATTGGATAGATAATTTTACCTTGGTGACTGTGCGTTACAGTGATAAATGTAATCAAATATTGTATCATCTTCCAGGGTGTCTGAAAACTTGTCCTGTAAGTCTGGTCTAAATCGTCTCACTAGTCCTGGCCCTAGAATATACAAATCTATAAACTTAAAATACTAAATGCTAAATGTTATCATTAAACAATGCATATGTCAATAATAGAAATCAAGGGGAATAACTCTCAAACAAGAGCATTATTTTTGAGTTAGATAATATTATATATATATATATATCTGGACAGTATTCACATTCACACGTTTTTTATCGATTTGTTTTTATTACATGAATGGAGACTGTCCCTCTGCTCGATTAAATATGGAATGCATGTATTTCTGAAACAGTGCATGTTGATTAAGATGGCGACAAAAATGAAACGCAAGCAATTATGTACGCTATGCAGGGCAAAATTTGAGACATATTATAGGTGATGAAAATCTCATAAGAGAAACAATAATTTTACAATTTTTGAGGATATGCTTTTAGCAGAGGGTCAGTCCTCCATAATGCAATATACAATATCAATATACAAACCAAATGGTCCTGCCACACGTAGAACAGCCAGTGGATTGAAAGGTTTTATAATAGTGGCTATAACCTTAATCCACATGGGTATTGGCCTCTGTTGGTCTTCAGGAGGTTTCTCTGGAAACCCCCAGGCATCCACCAGTACAAGATGCTTGACCCGGTCTGGGTACTTTAAACTGTATGCCCCCGAGATGTATGCTCCCAAGCTATGCCCCAGTAAAATCATTTCTTGGATATTCATTTCTTTTCTCCATTCTTCTATAGATTCCACAAACTGCTGTTCAGTTTTTTCAGGTTTTGAACTAAAATGTGGTCTTGAGCTTCGTCCAAATCCCAACACATCAAAAGCATACAATGGACGGTTTTCACTGAGGGGACCAAGGTTTTGGGCCCACAGTCCAATTCCTCCTCCCATTCCATGGACCATGACAAGAGGAACTTTTTTCTGATTGGTCTCATTGTCTTTGTGGTCCACTGTCAATGTCCACAGTCTATGATGGGTCTTCGGTAATGTCACATACTTTGTATCATATGTTGTTTTCCTCAAAAATGCTGTACAGTAAAATAATAGAAGTACATTTGTATTTGTTTAGTGTGACATGTACAGAATTTGTAGACTGTCTGAAAAGTTGAGCAATATGAAACTTTAATAAAAACTCTAAATACTAGTAACAAGGTCAGGTACTGCTGAAGACTGTAGTGTAGAATATCACTGTTACCATGGTTACTAATTAATTAATAACCTTAACAATCTAATCTTTATTTGGGACTTCTAACCTTGCAGAATTTTTCTTTCAGCTTGTGCAAGCTTAGCCATTGAGGTAGGCCTCCACGAAAACCAGCTTGATGGGTAAACTGCACTACAACTGAAATGTCAAAAATTAAAAATACACATTAAATATCATATAAGCAGCATTCTTAGTGAAGATTTAATTTTGACATTCTTAGTGATGGTGTTAAAATCCCTAAAATTTAATATCGCTAACATTTTATTCCATATTGGTGGTAATATCAGCATTATAAACTGACTAAAATTTACTTCTTAAAATAAGTACCACATTTTGAGGATTAATAGCTTAATTTGTATCCTGCTAAAAATTCCACATAGGGTAATTTTAGTACCGGTAATAGAAAAATAATTTGTGAATAATAAGTACTTAACCAGTACTTTTACTTAGTTGATTGAAGATGTTTGGAACCATCCCTCTCCCTCCCATCCCATGGGCTGTTTGATTTGTTATTAATCTTTATAATAAGTATGCCTACATTCCTATTGTTTTATTGGGTCAAATTCTGGGGCTTCATTGGCCATGTTGACAGAGGTTTGATATCACTGTGACCTGGTGAACATTTTCCTTTTAAAGAAAGCCTGCAAAATTCTGTGTAAATTTAAAAAAAAACTTGGAAAGTTAAAGTGAAATTAAAAGTATATTTCTTTTGATAATAAAGAACACACGTAGTAATGACAAAGTCTCAAAACAAGAAAACTTATTTGGGTCACTGTGCCATGACATTCTGACCCCAACAAGTTATATACTGCCTTATCCCTCTGCTATGTCAAACGCTTTGTAACTATAATGTTGCTGGGCAGGACAGTGTGTGTCGATACAACGGAGAAAGTACCAACTTAAAATACTTACAAAATTATCCCAAATACATGCAACAACGCCCTGAAATAGCCTTTTAAATAAGAAATTACATCCATGTAAAGAACCCCATTGATGAAAGAATCTACGTAAATAAATCCGAGGATATCCGAATGGATATGGGGGAATTCTCGAGTTAAAAATAAATACACAAGACGGAAAAGACCTTCTTTTACCTATAAAACAAAGTTTACATTTTGTTGGAACTATGTTAATGTAAAACAAATATAACACATATAACAACATACGATAAATGTATATATTTTACCTCTGAACGTCGGTTACTTCACTGTTCTTCTCCACCATGGCCGTTCAGCTATCAATTGTTCCGATGGTTTGCTAGTGTCACGTGACTCGAGGGCCTAAAGAAAGGGGTCTGGCTAAATTAACTTCGAGCAAATCTAGAATTTGATGGAATATTCTATTCCCTTCTAGCAAAACACTACAAATTTGGGAAGAAGTAAAGTAATGCCACTGTTTTCAATATCCACACGATCGCCATCATTGTTCACCAAAAAGAACCCCCTAACAGACCTCTGCGTAATGTTGGGAAATGATGTCCAATTGCATAAGTCCCGATGTTCCGTATTGTGAACTATTTTACTCGCAGTCATTCAAATAAGTCATGTTTAATTTTTACCTTCAAATATTTTTTTCTAAATCAAAGATGAAAAAGTTTGTACATGTCACAAGCCACTGTTTCCACATACAATTTAAATCAGTTAATCACATGCGGAATTTGCACTCTTATTAAAAATCTCTATTAGTACAATTTTGTGTTATATAAGCCCACCCGACTTCTGGCTACAACTAGATTCTGCTTATATCATTATTAATGCCTGCTTGATTGTTCATGCATCACCAAACAAGATAAAATATTGCACATTGACTATGCCTGAATTGTTTAGCAATAATTAAAACAATTCACTAAATAATAAAGAAAACATGGTTATTTTTAAATGCCTTTATTTTTTTCAAATTTTTTTGTGTTTTTTCTTTCATACAAAAATGATGACAAATTTAACATTGTGAAATAAAACATATCAACAATAATTATAACTGAAAAATGGCACAGATCTTTTCTATGCACAAAAATTATAAACTTGAGAATCACATGAAGCCGAAGGCATTTTCATTTCACATAAAAACAGAAAACTAAAATTATTATTTTATCCCTTCCCCCCAGAACTGAAATGCTAATTTCACACCTGATGTTCATCAATACAAGAAACATATATTTATTTGAATTAAACTGCTGCCACAATATGAACTTAATTCCCTAGAGTACCATGTCTGGAATTCTACATGTACTTAAATAAACAGCTGGGTATAAGAAAAATGACTAGAGATTACATAACAGTTACAAATGTACTGGCAGATATGTGTTCCGATAACTTTAGAAATATGAAAAAAATACAGTTAATTGTCACAGTTTTAAATCCAGAGCAAAGGAAGAAAGAACATGAGAGAACGTTTTTTAAAAAAAAGATTTTAAAATATTAAAATCAAATACCACAAATTGGATGTGAATGGTGGAGATTTTTTTTTTCATTATCACCAAAATGGATTGTCTTAATATAATTTTACACTTCATTCATCTTTCACTTTTACACAAGGGTCAATGCCTGTAAACCAAGTTTGACAAAACAGTGAATTAACAATGAACACAAACACTCTATCAACACTTATCTCATAATTAACATGAGACATTATCCTTGCCAATGACCAAATATCTAAAAAGATTACTTAACACTTCATCAGTCTACCCCAGTTTCTCGAGAAATGGATTTCAAGGATCATCTTTAAATTACACCATAGTCATTTCATTAATAGGATACCAATTTGATATAAAATTTATCAACCTAAATTGAGAAGAAAAAAAAAAGAAACACAGACTTAATAACTTCATGTGCTCTGCTACAGTTTGTTCCACATATACACATACATAAAATCACTATGTTAAATATAGGTTCCAAACAAAAATGATGCATTGATTTTTCTTTTCCAATCAATATTATACACTTTTTTTTTTTTTTGATTTTGTACTTTTTTTTTAACCCATGCATGATCTAATGGGTGTCCAATGAACATATAATACATTTAAACAAACAGAACTTTAATCAATTGGTCCTCTTTCTTTTCCACATTCTAATTCTCTAATAACCAGAATAATTGCACAATATTATTAATATCAATACATGTACATGTACCACAAAGGCTTGTATATACACACACATAAAAAAAATGTCAATAGCTGTCATTTCAAAGGATCTGGCTTTCAATTTTGGAAACTACGGGTAAATTGTCTAGGCAAAATAAAAACTTTAAGTATCAACTGTGCTAAAAAATACTAAAGATAGAGAGAAAGACAGAAAATACTAGAGAGAGAGAGAGAGAAATTTAGGATACAAAATAAGAGCAATCTCTTCTTTAATTTGAAAATAGTAAAAATAAAGAACATATTACAACAGATACTTTAAAAGAAAAAAAAAAAAAAAAAAGAATAGCCATACAGAATGGACAGCACTATTTCCTGATTGCTGGCACAGTAAGCGGTAAGTTTTTAGGTCTGTTCTGATGTGTATAAAAAGCACCTATTAAATTTTTACAGTAGTTCATTCATGAAAAGGCACAAAGAGAAATAATTGACACATGATCTGTGTAGAAAACGGACTTTTTTTTTGAAAGTCTGTGTTCAACACGACTCTCAAACAACACAACTTGTTTAAAATACAGCTTTAAAACAAGCCGAAATACATATTAAAACAGTATTTAAAAACAACACAACATTGTTTGAAAATAAAATGACATGATAAAAAGTGAATCAAGACCTTTGCATATTTTATATTGTGCTTTTAATTATAGAGATTCTTTTGAATCCAACATTATTATTTCTCATAAAAACAATGTACATTATGAACAATAACTATCATGTCCAACGTCTTTTCAGTTTTTCATGCAATGTTTTTACACACTGAATCCATTAAAATATACAATGCTATGGTATATTTTTAACCAAAAAAAAAAGAGTAGGGGTGAAACGATACACCTCCTTCACGGTTCGATACGTATTGTATAATTTTGTCTCGGTTCGGTTATTTTCGATACGATACATTTTGATAGAAAGAAACAAATTCAACATTGTTTTATGCTTTGTTTTTCCAAATCTAGTCACATATTTTACAAATTTTATTTGCAAATTGACTAGAAGAAATTGATTAAAATTATTTGACTGTCAAAAATTATTTACAAGCTATCAGTCATCAAAAATTTACGTTTTCTATACTTATTTATACTGAGTAACGTGTTTTGCCTCATGCCAAACCCGACTGAATAACGATCCCGATCGAAAAATGAACCGAACCGAAAATTAGAGATTTTGCACCGAGTATCAAACCGAGAAAAAATACCGCGGTGAATCGATACCGCGGTGAACCGTTTCACTCCTAAAAAAGAGATCAAGAAAAAAAAAAAAAAGGAAAATGATATTTGTTGTCAACATGGTAAGGTGAAGAATGGAAAATATATCACATAAATCATTGATATCACATAATCCGACTGTGATGTGAACAAGAATATCTGCCCATTTAATAGATATATATACTTTTTACCCAATTTTACGCCTTTGAAGAACAATTCATACATAAATTACCATATTTCTTATTAAAGTGAATGACTTGGATTGTTGAAATACATTTGGTATTTGAAAAAAAAAAAGGTTTCAACATACATGTACAGAAAAAATTGAATCTCCAAAATAAATCTTATTCACATCATTTTACAACATAATATCTTGAGACATGTATACCAATTACAGATTTGTCCAATGTTCATAAACACACACAAAAAGATTTTTCTATCCATATTCATTTTTATGCCTCCTGAACTCATATATGAGGCACCAAGTAATAGACAAGCACACACGTAACACAAAACACACACAAAGATCTCCTCTTACACTTGAAGGGCACCATTGATTACTGCCACTCCGGGCCTAAGTAGGGGTTACCTGTGGCCTGCAGTGGCACTTGGATAACTGTCCCTCTTGTTATAACCATACCCATTTCCTGTGTTTTTCTTCTTCTTGTTACTACTGTTCGTCCTTGTGTAAACGCGACCACTTTCATAGCTGTTTTTGTTTTGAGCACTTCCTCCGTGATATGCTTTTCGTGGCGGTCCGCTGTCATAGTGGCCAGAGTTTCTATTGCTGTTTCCACGGTTCTCGTAACTGTTATTATAACCTCTGTGGCCATTGTTTACATTAGTTCTGTTGGAACCTGCTGAATGAGTGGAGGACACACTACTACAACTAGTGTCTCGACTTTTGGATGAACCTGTCCTTTGTTTACTGTTGCTATGTGCCCTGTCTCTACTACGTGTGTACTCCTGACTGACAACAGCTGTCTTTTTCTCCACTTTGACTGGAGTTGTGGGTGTTGATTTTGTCACTTCTATTTCAGTCTGTTGTTGAGGATCAGGTTCCGAGTCCTACAATGAGAATAATCTTTTTTACTTCCCTGCTTTCTTCCCTATTCCACAAACTTCCCATTTCTATAAAGAACACCTATAAGATCTTTTTTTTTCACTTTTAAACAATCACTTACACATCTCTTCAAAATCATTAAGGAACAGTTCAAAACAGCATATTTTCACTATACTCACTTCAACCAAATTATTCTCTGTCTCTTTTAATGAAGATCTAGGAAAAATAACTTTCTTTCCTTCTAAAGAATTTCACAAACTGTAGCTCTACTCTGTTAATTAATATACCAAGCTGCACTACTTACTGTGTCGCTGGTAAGACTAGAAGTGGAGCTACTGCTAGCTGAGCTGCTGCTGGATTTGTACACAGAACTCGAGTCGGACTGTTCACTCTCCGGATTGCATGGCTTTGATCCATCCTCATTACACCTATAATCACAAATACTGTTCATTACTTGTACTAAACAGTTATTATCAATATACAACACTTACAACTTATCTTTATTTTTGTCAGAATGAAAAATGCAGTGTTTATGCTAACATTCCCTCAACTCATTCCTCTTTTTACCAACAAAATCAACTGTTCTGAGATCTTGACCTATGAGACTTAGTACAATGTATTGATCGTCATGTCTTTTTTCACCCCTAGGCTTAATGTATTTCCAGTACATAAGACTTCCTATAAAACTGGCAAATGCAACGGTAACTATTGAATCACTGTATCATTAAGATATTACCATCATTTTATTCACATTTCTAAAAATTCAAAGTTATGTTAGATTTCTTTAAAGTTCTTAAATATTTTTCATTTTATGACTGAATGCCCAATAGGAGCAAAACTGAGATTTGAAAAATGAAGGATGAAGACAACTTTCACTTTTGGATTTACAGATCCTCCACCTACCTCTTGCTGCTTTCATTACTGACATCACTTTTAGATTCCACAGCTTTGCTGCCATTGGCAACACTAGCATAGCTCCTGCTTCTGGAATCCATCATGTTGTTTTCTGGGATTTTACGAGGGAATGTTACTTTAATCCAATGTCTGTACTCCACAACTTCATTTGTCACTCTGACTATTCGACCAAGTATGCTGGAGAAAAATAATCACTTTTATCACAAACACTTTGATAAAAAACAAAAATAATAGTTATTCAACTTCTTTTGAACCGATAAATTATTAATCCTAAATGCATAATGATGATTAAGATTTCCAGCTTGGTAAAGCGTATTTGTAACAGTATGCATCTAGATAAAGATATTGAAATATGCTAAGTAATAAGAGATTGCCAATGAAAGTTATACTTTAAAATGAGTAATTCTTATGTGCTCTCATCCATTATTCCTATTCATGTTACCTACTGTGCTGAAAGAGGGGTTCAGGTAGCATTATGCAAGGTGTTTTATGCTTTGATTTTGAAATAATATTTTTATGAAACATTTTTGAAATAAGGGAAAAATGCTCTTAAGTTCAGGATCTAGTATACGATTTTAGATTGTCATTTTGGTGCTAAATCCATTAAGATGTCATAATTGATTTAAACTTAATTTTTCATATATTCTAAGACTGTAACAGAATAATGTAGAAAAGGAAGCATTTCCATGGAATTCAATTTGAAATCATGTCAAAAACAAACCTTGATACCTAATTTTAATTTAATATACATGTAATTTTACATAAAGGTCAAGATATGAAAAAAAGATTTTCTGAGAGACTATGGGCATTTTCTTTTTCTGAGATGGAAAAAAAACTCCAAAATTTATACCTGACTCTCATTTTTCATTGAAAATGACAATTTAAAATATGTTTATTTGTTGTCCAGATACACCTTTTTTTTTAACCAAGTTATATTTGTAAAGGATGATTAAAAAAATTGAGAAATCTGTAGGCACCTTTCATTTACTAGATCTTGACCTTAAAAATTCCTATTTATTTTCCTACCTGTACTTGCAAAACTCAGCTTACTTATATATTTTCACTTGCTATACAAATGTATAATGTAAAATTATATTTGCAATAAAAATTGGTAATTCAAATCTGTTGACACTTTTGAGGTATTATTAGTCTTTTTTTTTTCTAATTTTACTGTAATTATCCTAAAAAATAATCTGGATTGAAGACTTGTTTATTTATAAAGGGAACGTGTACATAGTCTGGGTTAATCTTTTTTTGCATTTAACAATATCTGAAATTTTCCAATACATTCATATAGAGAGTAGATATCACTCAATTTGAATAACAAAAAACAACTTTAAAAAATAATGCAATTTATTCAATTCTCACCTATGCTTTGGCTTTCTTGAATACATATATTGTGGGCCTACTGTGTAACTTAAAACTATGTAGGCATATTCAAAGGCCTGTTTCACTTGCATAGCACCGTATGAACTTCTTCCTATGTCATTTCCTAAAAAAAAATAACAACATTTAAATTTCTACTTCTATAAGCTCGTGAGACAGGATTTTTTTTTTTTAAATATATTTTCACTTGTGCTTCGCACTCATGAAAATATAATAAAAAATTCTGTTCCACTCGTGAAATAACTTCCATATCCAAGAACAAGACATTGAATATCCTCATTTGGTAATTTTGTGAGATTTAAAAATGATCTGCAGAATGACTCAAGTATAATTATGAAAAAAGAATTGTTATTTATATTAATTTTACATAAAATTCTGAAATGTAATAATGCCTCCCGCATAAAATTTATTGGTGATAAAATTAAAAAGGAACATAAAAACTCCCCCCTCAAAAATTGGCCTGAGAACCATAATTTCAATTTTACTTAGCCTTCTAACATTTTGAAATGACATTTCAAAGCAAAAACAGTCATTTATTTTTTGACTTACTTCAACCTTAATACATACAATACTAGCCAGTTTTAATGCATGAATTGCTTCTAAAAATAACTTTTTACACCTAATCCATTTCTTATACCCCTTTGATTCATCTTATTTGCAAATTCAAATCACAACATACCTTTAAGTAATATTTGACCACAATATTTAATATACAATGAAAATACTGAATCTTTGAAGATGGATGAACACATTCATCATTCAAAGATGAACTGATAACAATGATATGACATTTCAAGGGCATGCCTTAATAAAATCCTGCAGGTTTATAAAATTTATTCAGAATTTTAATAAAAAATTATTAATTTTCATTGATGATAAGGACATGGGTAATATGCTCTAACAAACCTTTTGTCAAAGGATCTTCAATACACAACATTGACGATCTATATCCATTTTCCATGCTTCTTTGAATTTCGTCTTTTGGTACATATGACCCTCCATTCTTAATGCGTATTCCTGTCTTCAAGTAATTAAAATTCCTTCCATACAGTTCAAAAAATTCAATCAGCAAAACTCCAAGATTCGCATTTGGCTCCAATGCATCACATCTTGGATGAAGCTATTAAAAAAAGTGCATTATTCTTGAATCACAATTTCGATCTCAATTTTGAAGTGCATGAATGATTAAACTAATAACAATTTACTATGTATTTTTTTTTTTACATTTTATTGTTATTTACTTTCATTTTAAGCCCAATTTTCTGAAAATAAAACCAAACCAAAAATGAAAGTACATATTCTTGGAATCATCAATCCTATTGTTAACCCTATAAATCAATAAGCAAAGATAAATTGAATATAAATCTGATGTAATCTACTTCAAAAGTATAATAGAACTTAAAATGGATGATTGACAATTTTCAAAAGTGCCACATATTTTTAGTATTTCAAATACTAACACTTCCTTAATCCTGCTCATTTGAATTGTTTGTTAGTCAAATAAAAGTATGCTTGTAAATCATCATTGTTCATGGGGGACCAATATTCATGGATTTCTTGAGTCCCCCTAATACACAAGTTTACATCCCTAAGAATCATTAATTTTTCAACATAATAGTTCATTAAATCTTATTTATGTACGAGTTACTCATGAAATTATGTCCCCATGAACCAGTAAAATTTTGATTGCCCACAAACACTGATCCCTGTGAATATGAACAAGCTCCAAAGTACTTGTTCATATTGCCCTATGTTCTATTATATATCCCTACAATCCTTAATGAGACCACAATCAGGGGTTCCATTTTTTAAAAAAAAATTTTGATGCTCAAATCTGGTACTTGAAAGGTGAATTTTAGTCAAGTCCGTGGAAGATATGCCCAACTCTGCATTTATAGAATCATTTTAAAAATATTATTTGTTCTGAATGAATAAAAACAATGTGTTACTGTCTTTCTGCTTTTTTTCTCCCCATACATGTACCATGAACAACTCTGCTTTGATTCATCAGTTATATGGCATGTTTACCAATCAGTTTGAAAATCGCCAGATCTCTTTTCTTTCGACTTTTACTACACCGAGAGCTAACATTTTGAATCAATCATCAAGGTCTCTTATTAACAGTTTGCTGAGCCATAAAACCAAACTTAACCAAGTCCTGACACCCATGTTCTTACAGTCTAACACTAACACTGGGAAATTGAGTAAGAATGAAAAAAAAAAATATTGTATTTTTGAGAACATTTTAACTGTCATTGTACAAAATCATCCACTTTAATGAAAAAATCAAGAGATTTTTTCACTTCTTAAGAGTTAATGATCTATCTTTCAGGTTCTTTGAAATAAACTACAATAATGCCAAGTCCCCCAGACTATGGGTGATTCTAAATACAGAGCCCCAAACAAGAATTACTTAGTCCTGGATGTCAGGCTTGAGTTTTGAACCCTGGCCACAATAAAACATTTCTGCTACCATCTTACCTGAAAAAAGCTGACTGTCATGTAGATGAGGCTGTAGGAACTTATTCCCCCTGTAAACACTTCATTCAGATCTCTTTGTAGAAGGAACTGTTTTAGCACCAAGACCAAATATTTCAAATTTGGGTATTCAGTCATGAATTTCTGTAAGGATAAAAAATATTAATAATGATAAAATTATCCATCTACATTAGTGTGTATATATATATATATATATATATATATATATATATATATATATATATATATATATATATATATATATATTTTCTCAACTCTCAATTTGGATCTTTTTCTGACTGCTTACACTGATTAGCTGAGCACTTTCCACCGAGTTTTGTGTATTAAAGCTTATGTCCACCTTCACATCAGTTTGGAGGTCCACCATTTTGATAATTGGAACCTTGAAAAATATATACATATTCATTATATATATCCTTTACATACATATATATTTTCAGAATCATCTCTACCTAACAGACAAGTCTGGTTCAAGTCCAAAGTTTCTTTGATAAAGATGATGATTAACAAAACTATCTTATTCCAATGAAGGTTTCATTCCTTAATTTAAAATGTGTAGCCATTTAATACTTTTCTTTCTAATTAAAAAGAGTATTGTAATACATACAATTATCCCTCCCACTAGCTGCAGAACTGGTTGAAAAATTCGGACAGATAAACTAGAGTGCTACAGATCCAAACAAAGTACAAACCTACAATTTATGGCGACACCTTTTTGTTGTTCAATTGGGATTTTTTAAATTTTATTTTATGTGTTCCCCCGCTTCAAGAATGGAATCTACACATATCTTACTCCTATTCATAATAATTAATTTACCTTTCAAACAGCCCTTTATGGCCTTTGGAATGTCAGTTCAAAAAATCTGCATTCCGATGTTGGGGGTCATGCCAAAAAAAAAGACTGTCAAAAAACATATATACATGCAGAGAAAATGTAAATAAAAAATTTGGAAGTTCAAATATCATCTATAAAGAAGACATATCATAAGTATATAAAAAGAAATTCAATAAATAAAATTTGGAAATGCTAATTTAGAAACAACGTGGATGTCAGAATGTGAATTTTAAAACTGATACTCCAAGACCATATAGGGCTGTTTGGAACCATTGAAAGGTATAAATAAAGTATCAGGAATAGGATTAAAATATATGGTTAATTAAAGGATACCATGCTTAAAGCTGGGGAACCCATAAAATACAAGAAATAATACTCAAAGCAAGTGACAAAAACAAGCAGCACCATAATTTGAAGGTTTTTACAATGCTTGGATCTATAGCTTTCTGGTTTATCTGTCTGAATTTTCTCAACCAGAGAGCTACAATTTTGCAGCTACCCCCACCCCCTTGTTGCCCCTTCTAATGAGTTTATAACTACAAAATGTACTTACAGAAGCTTTGTCTAGCACTTTCACAGAGGCTGGATCCGCATAACCTCTTTCTCTCAAAGCTCTTTCCAGGGTGAACAGAGGTAGACTGTCCCATTTTCCATACACAACCAAATCAATATCACTGCAAAATATAACATTTGTTATTTTTTGCTTAGTTTTTTCCTCTGCAAATTTACTTCAATTAAAATTCAACAGAAATTTGGAATTAAAAATGATATGAGTGACATTCTAAAACATAAGGGACTTCTGAAAGCTTCATAACATACCTTGTCGGTAAGTACAACCCTGTTTTGAAACTTCCAAATATTTCCACCTAAAAATGCAGAAAAATTTCTTTACACCTTAAAGAATACAACTGATGTTAAAAAAAAACATAATTGTTACAAACTTGAGTGAAAAAGTGCTATCTTTTTTTTTCACTAAACTGCAATTGTAGAATTTAAGGCACAAACCTTTGCCTCTGGCCAAAGCTCTTTGACAACATCTTTAATTCTTTGAACAACCTCATTCCTCATGTTTGCTTCTTCTGCAGTTGGTGACATATATTCATAAAAATCCTTAATCTCTTCATGGAGCCTGAAATTAAAAAAAAAAATCTAGAATAAATTCAATTGGAAAATGAATATAATTACAATATATTCTCTCAAACCATTAGCCCTGATAACCAAGAAAACTGTGTTCTGGTAAACATTTATTTTCTGAAACCATCCAAGATTTTAAACATTCAAGACAATATCGTGAACAGTACTTAAGAAAGGTCACAGATCAATACCAAGTTACATAATCTTTGAAAGGCGGTTGAAAGGTAAAAATGACAAAATGGAGAAACGGCTTGACATATGTTATATAACCTTGAAAAAGTTGAATGATAATCTTTCAGTTGGTTTCATACAATGTTGTTCATTATTCTTTCACATAATTTAAGAAAAGCATTAATATTTTTCATTAGTCACATACTCTTCGATATTTTTTGGTTATTTTTGTAAGTTTGAGCATTCTTTGAGAGAACTGTGAATGACTTGTCATGCGTGGGCGTGATTGTGAATGAATACTATTTCCCTTAAAACAACAGGTCTATTTAGCCGTACTTACCCTATAACATTTGGTGGGTAGTCCTTTCCTTTTCGGATCCATGGTGTTAATCCACCATTTTCATGCAAAAAATGTTTGTAGGACGAATGATTCAGACCGTATGTGCTAGCCTTGTTTTCTCGTTTTCTTTTAAAGCTGTTCTGTTGGTTCTGAATATTGTACTGCTTATTCGTAGGCGCATGTTTCTGTGCTAGATTGTTATTTACACTGAGCGAAATAAAATCTGGTGGCCTCTGGTCCAAATTATGATTTGAATTGTTCAGCGACATATTATCCACGCCTATCTGGGTCTCGATGATCCTCGTCCAAATGTCATGGGCTAATCCTAACTGCTCAGGTGAATACCAAGCTATTCTTGGATCCATTCAAACTTGTATTCGTGAAAAAATAAAAGAAGGAATTATTTCCCTCGTCCCAGTTCACACAATTTCACTTACATTCGGATACAATCTGTACAACTGCTGACTTCGAATCTTGTCGTCGGAGAAGCCGACATGCGCATGCGTAAACATTCATTTAAAAAAATCTGGAAATTTCCACTATCGACAAAACGACAAAATAAGCCAATCATTCATGGTAAAATAGATTGGGAATTAATGCAAAAGGGTATGTGATTTAAATGAAACTAATAAATTTATACCAAAACTTCCAATTACCTTAATCTGACATTTTAGCTATTGCTGACAGATACAATCATCGTTTTTACCCAGATGAATCCTAAATATACTACGGTTCCCCATAAGGAACTTCACTCACGGACAGCATGTGCTACTTTGACAGTTTAAATATGGGGTCCGCAACGGGGTGTTTAACTAGTCAATATCATGTCATTGCACAACAACGTGTCACCTGTAGTGGAAAAAGTGTTTTACAAAAATAGTGTTACCTGTGTAGGTGTAAACAACCAAATATCTTTGGGAACAATAATTAATGTAAATATGATTAACAATCTGCCAACTTGTATGAAGCTGCATGTGCTTGGTTGAAGTACTTAACAGCTATTATTCATATATTTATTCTATGTACATGTACTTTTAAGAGGAAATTATTCTGAAAAGGGATCGTTTGTTTTTTGGGAACCAAGGCTTGCGTTGGAGAAAAAAGGGGGGGGGGTAGTATGGAAAAAAGAAAAAGAGCAGGAGAAAATATTTCCTTGAGTGTGTTGTCTATGAAGAAGGATTAAAGACTCCTACTTAGGTGCGGATTCATTATTTTGTATCAGAAAGTGGGAAGGGGGGGGGGAGCTATATTAGATGACGAGGGGTCTGGAAACTGCTGAGGTTTCCAATGGGTCCGGCCGGGGGTAGATCCCTGGAGGGAGGGTCATCGGAAGCTCAAAATCAAAAATTAGAGAACCTTATGTTAACGAAAATGATATTAATTTTACCATTGTTGTTTGACATTCAAAACTACACATGTACATGTTTAATTTTTAAAGTATGGAAAATAAAATCTAATCAATTTTAAAATGAATATTTTGATAATAAAGATATCGAGCTGTACTTGCTTTTAAATTGAAAAAAATATGTTAAGAAAGCAATGAATAAGAAAATTTGGAAAACATTTATAATACAGCCTTATTTTATACTGTTCTTACGGACGCCAATTTAGGACCTATAAAAAATATTTTTGAATTTGTTATGAGGCATTCGATTATTTGTTATAACATTTTTTAAATTTGTTATTATGTAATTAAATCTGTTATAACAGATTTTATGACTTTGTTGTAAAGAATTCCAAAATTTGTTTTAACAATTTAAATTATTTTAAACGAATTTCTAAATTTGTTATAATGACTCGCTGATAAAATTCGTTTTAACGATTCAATTTTTAATCAATACGGAAGCCAATTTAGGACCTATCAAATAATATTTTTGAATTCGATATAACGAATTGTCGAATTTGTTTAAACGAATTTAATTCGTTATAACAATTTCTTTGAATTCGTTATAACGAATTTAATCTGTTATATCAAATTTGTTGAATTCATTATAACGAATTATCGAATTTGTTATAACGAATTGAATTCGTTTAAACGAATTCTAAATGGCTGTGTGATGCGTACAGTGTGTGTGTCTGTTTGTGTCTGTACTTGTCACTCCCGCTTTCAGCTCCACCCTGGCTAGCAGCTTGCTGTGAAAAATAAGCAAATTATATTTGTAAGTCTTATCTGCCAGGTATAGCCTCTCCACAGTTGGACCTATATGGCCCAGATATGGGATCCTTCTCGAGGTAGCAGATGGGAATTGGGTACCTTACGGCCCCAAGCAGAACCACAAGGTCTTGGAGGATACTAGGCCCCTAAATGCACGGTACGCTTGGCCCACCGGTGAGTGGATATGCCTTGGTGCCTGCAATCCTAGTTCCCAGCAATGGGTAAATTGCGATGAACTACTGCCTTGTAGAGACCTTTTGGAGAAGGAAAGGTTAAGGAGTAAACCCTACAGAAATCCAGAGTAAATGCCATAAGGTTGTTGGAGTAGCCACACTTCTGACAACTCTGTCCGTGCCACGGAAAATGGCCGTCCAGATGGTGGCGTTAGCCCGGTAACGCAATTACCTAGGAGAAAATAAACTCTTACTTAAAAATCACGGGCAGATCTAGACTCGTCATCCATGTAAAGCCATAGATCTAGTGGAAGGAAACCATAAACAAATTACCCTGGTCCTCCAGGTTGGGGATTGGGCTCAGGGCTAACAACCCTGTCCTGTAGAAGGAGAAAGTTACGGAAACAGCAACAAGAATAACCTTCACTTCAGCGTGTGAAAGGCCTTCCGAGTTCAATGAGACTCGTATGAATGCTGGCAATCAAAGCCATAAGGACGTTACCAGCAAAATGAGGGATGACCTGAACACCACCAAAACCAAGCTCAGACTAGGGCATTGGAATGTGAGGACAATGTATGAGATAGGCAAGCTGTCACAGGTAACATCTGAGATGAGACAGTTTAATCTCCACGTCCTAGGAGTGAGTGAGAGCAGATGGACTGGATCTGGAAAGATGAAAACAACTACCGGACAAACTGTCCTCTACTCTGGGAGAGATGACAACCTACACCATGAAGGAGTAGCCATCATACTCAGGAAAGGTGTAGAACGGTGCCTGTTGGAATGGAAGCCCATAAATAATAGATTAATTAGCGCAAGATTGAAGGGCAAGCACATCAACACCAAATTAATACAATGCTACGCACCAACTAATGACAGTAGCGATGAAGCCAAGGACAACTTCTATAGTCAACTACAGGCAGAGATAGAGAAAACCCCACGGCACGACCTCTTTGTCATCATGGGGGACCTCAATGCTAAGGTCGGAAAGAAGAACACCGACTATGAAAGAGTCATGGGAAAGCATGGGGTTGGGACCAGGAACGATAATGGCGAAAGACTGGTGGAGTTCTGTGCTATGAATAACCTAGTGATAGGAGGAACCCTCTTCACACATCGTGATATCCACAAGCTGACCTCGAACTCACCAGATGGAAGGGACAAGAACCAGATTGACCTCCTGATGATCAATGGCATGTGGAGACGCTCTCTAATAGATGTTAGGGTCAAGCGGAGTGCAGATGTAGGCAGCGACCACCACCTGGTGACAGCACTCATTAAGATCAAATTGAAGAAAACTGAGGTAAGGCCTATAACACTCAAGCACGTTTCGACATTCAGAGACTGAGGGAAAACACCATGAAAGCTGCCTTCATCAACGATTTAAGAAACATTCCAAAATCTTGCAAGACATAGCAGATGAAGGTGGGGAGACCAATGTGGACAACACATGGAAGCAAGTGGCCCAATTGTACACTGAAAGCAGCAAAAAGAAACTAGGCCTTCGCAAGAGAAACACCAACAAAGACTGGATCCAGCAGGAAACTCTGATTGCTATAGAGGAGAGAAAGGAAATCAAGAAAAAGATGCTGCAGATAAAGTCCCCACGACTGCATGAGAGGCAAGAGGAGCTGTACAGTGAGGCCAGCAAGAGAGTCAAGAAGCTTGCACGCCGTGACAAGAGAGAAGCCATGGACCAACTTGCAGCTGAGGCAGAGGAAGCGGCAGTAAGGGGAGAGCAAGGGAGAGTATATAAGATCACAAAACGAGTTTGTGGTAAATTTAGAGGAAACGCAGGAGGACCTATCAAGGACAAACACGGAACACTGCTGACAACAGAAAAAGAACAAGAAGAGAGATAGGCTGAACAGTTCCGCGAAGTACTTAATCGACCATCACCTGACGAAACAGTTGCCATACCAGAAGCCACAGAGGATCTGGACATCGACACTGACCCACCAACTAAAGATGAGATAATGGATGCAGTCAAAACCCTTAAGAATGGGAGGTCACCAGGGCGTGACAATCTTGATGCAGAGCTATTTAAAGCAGACCCTGGAATAGCAGCCACCATCCTCCAACCACTGTTCACAGCTGTGTGGGATGGAGAGAAAGTACCTGATGACTGGTGCAAAGGGGTGATTGTCAAGATCCCAAAGAAAGGAACCCTGAGCGATTGCAACAACTGGAGGGGAATCACTCTATTGTCCGTGCCAAGTAAGATCCTGGCCAAGATAATCATCAAAAGAATGTCAGACGCTGTTGATGCTGTATTGAGGAAAGATCAAGCAGGATTTAGGAAACATCGAGGATGTACTGACCAGATCTTTGCACTCCGCAACATCATAAAGCAGTGCACAGAGTGGCAGAGACAACTGTATGTAAACTTGGTGGACTTTGAAAAGGCATTTGACAGCATACATCGAGATAGCCTTTGGAGCATCCTACGTCATTATGGTATTCCATCCAAACTGGTCCACCTGATCAAGAGTTTTTATAACAACTTCAGATGCTCAGTAGGACACAATAACACCCTCTTCAATGTTAAAACCGGAGTCAGACAGGGATGCGTAGTGTCTGCAGTATTATTCAACTTGGTCATCGATTGGGTCATGCGAAAGACAACAGAAGATTCTCCAAGGGGGATCCGCTGGGGCCTGTTCTCAACATTAGAGGATCTGAACTTTGCGGATGACCTTGCGCTAATGTCTCACACACACCAGCATATCCTAGAGAAGACCAACAGGCTGCAAATCTAAGGACAACAGGTGGGGCTACGCATTAGTATGAAAAAGACGGAGACAATGTCACTTAATGTGGAAATACCTGCTCCTGTTAAGATCAATGGTGAAGAACTACGCCAGACGGATAATTTTATTTACCTGGGTAGCATCATTAAACCAGAGGGCGGCACAAAGGAGGATATCCACAGCAGACTGGGCAAGGCCAGGAGAGTATTTAGAGAAATGAATAACATCTGGAGGTCTGCACAGTACAGCACCAGCACCAAGCTGAAGCTTTACCAGAGCTGTGTTGTATCAACTCTCCTATATGGATCGGAATGCTGGAGAATAACAGAGACAGATCTTAGCAAATTACGATCCTTCCATACCACATGCCTCCGCCGAATACTCAAGATTTTCTGGCCCGAGAAGATTACAAATGAAGACCTGACGAGCAGATGCAAACAAGAGGACATGAGTACCATCATTACCAAACGCCGATGGAGATGGATTGGACATGTTCTCCGAAAAGACCCCCAGTCAACAACAAGAACAGCACTGCATTGGACCCCAGATGGCAAAAGAAAGAGGGGAGGCCTAGAACATCATGGCGAAGGACAGTTGAAAGCGAGATGAAAGCTATGCACCAGACTTGGGGATCATTGACGAGGCTGGCCAAGGATAGACAAGAGTGGAGGAAGTTTGTTGCTGCCCTACACACCACAGGGTGTAAAGGACAATGATGATGGTGAAACGAATTCTAAAATTTGTTATAACAAATTAAATTCGTTTAAACAAGTTCTAAGATTTGTTAAAAGGAATAAATATGTTTAATCAAATTCAACATTCAGGGCCTACAGATGAAATATATATAAATTCGATATAAAGATTTGTCGAATTCATTTTAACGAATTTAATTCGTTATAACAAATTGAGTTCGTTTAAACGAATCTAATTCGTAATAACAATTTTAAGAATTCGTTTATAACGAATTTAATTCGTTATAACAAAGTTTTGAATTCGTTATAACTAATTCAACAAATTTGTTATAACAGATTAAATTTCATTATAACGAATTCAAAGAAAATGTTATGACGAATTAAATTCGTTACAACAAATTCGACAATTCGTTATATCGAATTCAAAAATATTTTTGGTGGGTCCTAAATGGGTTTCCTTAATTCACGAATTTAATTCGTTTTATCGAATTCGAATGCAACAATTTGACAGAGTTCGACCATATGCAACAAAATGTGCAGGGGCCAAGCAGCCAATAAATGATTTTTTTTAAATATTTTAACTACAGCAAGACTATTCTCCTGAAAAATGGGGGTGCCCCCTCTCGTACTACTGCCCTGAAAAGGCGTTATAGCGAAAAATGGAAAGGCGTTATTTATGTTTATAATTATATGAATTATTTTATCAAAGTCATCTTTATTCATGCAATATTTAAAATATTTTCTATACTCCTGTACATTTCGCAGACAACTGTATGCACGAGTAATAAATTATAGAAGTCAACACTTTACTTGTGAAAATCCAGGATTAGGCAGGTGTAGCTTGGGACTTTGCTGGTCATAGATTAAAATTCATTTAAAATTTGAAAATCTTTTTTCTCCCCTTTTGGAATAAAGCAGACAAACTATTTAAATGGGTATAATGAGCAATTAGCTTTCAACCAAAACCGTCTGGCATCAAAGAAGGACTAAGTTGGTTTTAACATTGAAAATATATTATACGGAAGCCCATTTAGGACCTATCAAAAATATTTTTGAATTCGATATAACGAATTGTTGAATTTGTTATAACGAATTTAGTTCATTATAACAATTTTCTGAATTCGTTATAACGAATTTAATCTGTTACAACAAATTTGTTGAATTCGTTATAACGAATTCAAAAAATTGTTATAACGAAATAAATTTGTTATAACGAATTCTAAAACTTGTTATACCGCTTAAAATTCGTTAAAACGATTTCTTTAATTTGTTATAACGAATTAAATTCGTTAAAACGAATTCGACAAATTGTTGTATCGAATTCATATACAATTTATATTTTTCTATAGGCCCCGATTGTTGAATTTGATTTTACGAATTTAATTCGTTAAAACAAATTTTAGAATTTGTTTAAACGAATTTAATTCATATTAACAAATTTTTGAATTCATTTAAACGAATATAATTCGTTATAACATTTTTTAATTCGTTATAACGAATTCAATTAATTTGTTATAACAAATTAAATTCGTTATAACGAATTCAAAGAAATTGTTATCACGAATTAAAATCGTTATAATAAATTTGACAATTCGTTATATCGAATTCATAAATATTTTTGATAGGTCCTAAATGGGCTTCCATAATATTATGCAACGCAATTAAAAATCTTTTTCCATGGATATCTAACATTATTTGTTGAAAAATGAGCCCTATACTAGGGAAGCCCAATGAGGAACTGCCAAAAATATTTTTGAATTCAATATTACGAATTGTCGAATTTGTTATAATGAATTTAATTCGTTGTAACAATTTCTTTAAATTCGTTATAACGAATTTAATCTGATATAACAGATTTGTTGAATTCATTATAACGAATTCAAAACTTTGTTATAATGAATTAAATTCGTTTAAACGTATTCTGAAATTTGTTATAACGAATTAAATTTGTTTATTCAAATTCAACAATCAGAGCCTATAGAAAAATATATATGAATTCGATATAACGATTTGTCGAACTCGTTTTAACGAATTTTATTCGTAATAACAAGTTTTAGAATTCTTTATAACAAATTTCATTCATTATAACAAATTTGTTATAACAGATAACAATTCGTTGTAACGAATTCAAAGAAATTATTATCACAAATTAAATTCGTTATTACAAATTCGACAATTCGTTATATCGAATTCAAAAATATTTTTTGATAGGTCCTATATGGGCTTCCGTACTATACCTTATTGTGAAAATCGTGTCCCGAGGATCAGCAAAACAGCCCCAGGGGTAGGCTAAGTTAGTGATGTATTGAAAACAAAAGGCGTAAAAAGTCTTTTGGAAAGACATAATAACGCCTTTTGAAAATGCGTATTTAATGCTTTTTGAAAAAGCGTAATAATGGCTTTTGGAAAGGAGTAAAAACGCCTTTTTTAAAAGGGGTAAAACGCCTTTTAGAAAGGCGTTATAAAACCTTCATTTGCGTTAATACGCCTTTTCCCGCGTAATAACAACGCCTTTTCAGAAAGCGTTATTATGCCTTTTTCATTGTTTTTTGTGTTATAACGCCTTTTCAATTTTTCCCGTAGTTTGATCCTTAAAGTCTTTCGTACAAAAGAGACTGAATACGTTTTCGATTCGATACGCTTGCATTTCCTGATGAAACCAACATAAAAAAATCAGCACAAAATTATTATTGAATTACATATTATGTCATTTGCACGAATTTTTGCATTTTTTTTCTTCAATTTTGCACTTATAATACATAAAATTGACCAAAGGCTAAGGTGTTTATAAGTTGACTTCAGTATATGGCTGAGGGAAGAGTTTGACAATTCTATTCATGTGCTTTTAACAGCAGTTGTCCAGTTGTAAATAGAATGAATTAGTCTTCGAAAAACAAAAGGACAATTGCATCATTACTTTTATGAATTACATATACACGTAAACGTTCAATTAGTTAGACGGTTTATTCCCCAAACGCCTACTCGCTAAATCAACAATATAATTATCAAACTCAATTAAGAGGCTTTCTAAGGGGCACAGATAGCGTTTACCTGTGTTAGCTTGATTTAACAGTCTAAATTAAATACATTTATTTTTCTGATAATTTTTTTTACTAAAGCACAGTTTATTTGATGAAATATGGAGATAACGAACAGTATTCAAGCTCAGAGTCCATTAAAACGATACAAATCGAGTGTAGAACAAACACGGACCTCCAAAAACATCAGAGGTGGGATTGGGTGCCATGGAGGAGTGAGCATCCCCAGCCGACCGGTCACACCCGCTCTGTGCTCCTTGTCATGATCAGGAAATCAGCCATATACTGAAGTCAACTTATAAACACCTTAGCCTTTGGTCAGTTTTATGTATTATCAGTGCAAAATTGAAGAAAACAAAATGCAAAAACTCGTGCAAATGACATAATATGTCATGTGAACGAGATACCTCATGTTTCTCGTTCGATCGACAAATCTCGTGCGAACAAGATAATAAGGTGTTCTAACGACATAATATCTCACGAGTGCGAACGACATAATAACTCTTGCAGCTATAATAATTCATTTTCAAACTTTTATTATGATGCATATCTTGGGACACTGAAGCCTAGGATCGTCTAACTTTGTCAGTTGATGTATCTTTCAATTGGGATCTCAGGGTCTGGCAATTCATCTTCAAAACAGTTTAGCTTAAAATTTTGGATACTAAGAATCTTAGAATCAGCAATCTTTGTCAGTTAATCTTATAAGAACCTCGGAATATCTTGATCCCAAAGTAGGTCAGTGTGTCATAATTTTGCATTTCTTCACTATTCATTGTCAAATCTTTATATCATTGATACTAAGAGGCCTAGGATCATCTAACCTTGTCAGTTGATGCATCTTAGGACCTCAGGATATGTTAAACCAAAAGTAGGTCACAATGACCCATACTTTATGAGTTCCTACTACCCCCACCCCACTCCATGTAATTTTTCTCTTTTATCTCGCCGGCGATGATTTATGAATTCATGAGAAGAGTAAAGAAAATGCATCTTCAAGTCTATTGAAGTCCAAGGTACGGTGGAGGAGGGGGAAAGGTGGTAGGAAATTATAATTATATATCAAATCTTTATATCATCATACTTTGTCATTTGATGCACTTGAGGCCTCATAGTGTGTCACAATGACCTATGGGATTCTACACTATTCATTAAAATATCTGGGATACGAAGAGGCATAGAATATCAAACCATGGCAGTTGATGCAGTTTGGTGCCGTAGAGCCCCAAGATTTGCCAGTTTAGAGGTTCAGAGTGACATGGTTCTGTTTATCCAAAGAGCGATTTTAAGCCTATATCTTGATGCCGTAGAGCCCCAGATCTGCCATTTTAGAAGTACAAAACTGTAGGTTCAGAGTGACACGGTCGTGTTTATAAGTCCCCTACCGGTGAAACCGGAGGGGACTATAGGTTTCCTCTGAGTCTGTCCGTCCGTCTGTCAGTCTGTCCCACTTGGTTTTCCGCATTTTTCTTCTAAACGCTTGCAGATATTGAGCTGATTTTTGATATGTGAGTGTATCTTGATGATTCTTCAATGATTTTTGACGGAATTACGACCTTTTCAAATTTTCAGGGTTTTCCACAATTTTTTTTCTAAACGCTTGCAGATATTGATCTGATTTTTGGTATGTGTCTTTACCTCGATGAGTTATAGATCAAGTTTGCATTTCGTTCCGCTTCATTCATTTTTGACGGAATTATGGCATTTTCAATTCTTAAAGGGAACCAGATTACACTTGCCGGTAGGAGACTAGTATTGCTAATGCAATACTCTCAGAATGCTTGTTAAAAGAGCAATTTTTGGCCCTTGGACCTTTTGCTTAAGGAATTTTTTCATCTACTGGTGCTCATCAGGAATTTTCTAAAAATGGTTAGGAACTATCGTGATTTTCAAATTTTTCACTTAATGAACAAATATTCTCAGACAGACAGAGGGACAGACAGACAGACAGACGGACGGACAGACTCAGAGGAAACCTATAGTCCCCACCGGTTTCACCGGTAGGGGACTGATGATAATCTACATCAATGGTCTTTGATTGCTGGCCAAGATAAAATATACTGCTCTTCTTAAAACAATGTTTCCGCAATATTTGCAGAATCATATGATTTGTGAGCTGTGGGCCATGTTAAAGTCATGTACGGAGGAGGGCTAGTTTCACAAGCTTTCTGAGAGTATTGCATTAGCAATACTTGTCCCCTACCGGCAAGTGTAATCTGGTTCCCCTAAAAAATTGAAAATGCCATTATTCCGTCAAAAATTAATGAAGTGGAAGGAAATGCAAATTTAATCTATAATTCATCAAGGTAAAGTCACATACCAAAAATCAGCTCAATATCTACAAGCGTTTAGAAAAAAATTGCGGAAAACCCTGAAAAATTGAAAAGGTCGTAATTCCGACAAAATCATTGAAGCGGAACGAAATGCAAACTTGTCTGTCTGTCCCTCTGTCTGTCTGTCAGTCTGTCCCACTTGGTTTTCCGCACTTTTTTCCTAAATGCTTGCAGATATTGAGCTGATTTTTGGTATGTGATTGTATCGTGATGAGTTACAGATCAAATTTGCATTTCGTTCCACTTCATTGATTTTTGACAGAATTATGTCATTTTCAATTTTTAAGGGTTTTCCGGAATTTTCTTCTAAACGCTTTCAGATATTGAGCTGATTTTTGGTATGTGACTTTACCTTGATTAGTTATAGATCAAGTTTGCATTTCGTTCCGCTTCATTCATTTTTGACGGAATTATGACACTTTCAATTCTTAATGGGAACCAGATTACACTTGCCGGTAGGAGACTAGTATTGATAATGCAATACTCTCAGAATGCTTGTTACCTAAGGATCTGCATTGTACTGGACGTTGTGTTTTTATGTATTTTTTTTTAAAGGATTCTTTCTTTGCATTCACTATCTTTGTTGGTATTAGACCAGCTTCATTGTGATTTGTGCCTTTATCAGATGGAAATAATGAATCAACCAATTCTCCTGAATCATACAATATAAAACACTACACAATATTAAAGAATGCAATTTTAATAGAAAAAGAATACATTATCAACAATGATTTTATCATGCAGGTATTTAAAAAATCAATATACTATCAAAGTAAACCAATCAATTGGCAATAAATATGAAAATAATACTAAAATAATAGCTCTTCTCTTCTTATATAAAATGTTGGATCCATTATCATGGTTAAATTAGTGAATTAAGCCATATGATAAAAAAATAAAACAAAAAAAAATAATCTATCGAAAGTCTTTTTAAAAATATCACAGAAGCTTTAATGAAAGACTGTGGTTGTAGTTCACTAATATAATGTTCCTTAACTAAATGTCCACACTCAGAAGTCTCTATTGTCCAGTTAGAAGAAAGGCACAGACACCACAAAGCAGTAAGTGTCAGAAGTGACAAGAATCTCTGGTCCATAGAAATTGTCTGCTTCCAACAGAGTAAAACTGTCAGGTGACAAGTCATCTAGTAACAGGGCTGTGTTAACCACTGGTCTGTAGTCCTCTGGGAGTGTCTGTCAAACATATTTCATAATGTTTGTTAATCTAAGATGAAATTTGAAATAGCAGTTTAAATGTAATAATCATAAAATGATAACAAATAATGCCCATGCAAAATATGCAATAGTATTTTGGACAATTAATCATAAACATTTGTATACAGTTAAGTGTTTTTAGGTCAAATATACTTTCACAACTCTTATCTACAATTTCATTTCAATAAAATATGTAAGCCTTCTAATACCTTTCTGATAAACATTGGCTCTTTATGGGACCCAGAGTTCAACTGGCTACATTTCTCATTGACCTTCTGGACAACACTACCAGACAAGGGCTTATCCTAAAATTATTTTACAAATTTTGCTAACTTTCATTCAAAATATTTGAAATATATTACTAATGTCAGATTTTGTTATATGTATAAAAGTGTTACTGTTAAGATAAAATAGCTACCTTTTGTTCCAGTGCAGACTGCTTTGATGGCAATGAAGTACTTTGTGGTTCCTTATGTTTAAGGGCTGAGTCCACAATGTTTATTGCTTTTTTGTCAGCAGAAGTAGCTTGTCTAGGACTAGAATCAGTTTTGCCTTTCACATCTTTTCCAGCAGTGGTCATTTGTTTAGTAGGGGAATCCTCACTTTCCTTTTTATCATCAGTAGATTCCAACTGACCCTAAAAGCATCCATCAATTTAAACTTGTGCTTTTAAAATATTCTGAATTATTCTTCTTAATGACTTCTAATAAGTAAGGTATTTATTACACCTACCTGTTTTTGTCTGTTTAGGATCCTCATAATTCTGGCAACATATGGAGGATATTCTACTGGGTCTGTTTGAACTTTGGGTGGAACAACAATGCGCTTGATTCCCTTCTGTTAAAATAACAATTTCATGAAGTCAATCTTGTAAAAATCAGGTAAATTCTAATCAATGCTAAAGATAACAATTTCAAATTCATAAATAAATTTTATAAGAATCATTCAAGTTCAATGTATCCAGTATTTATCTGATGATGTTCTAAATTACCTTGCCATCTTTCTGAGTTGTAGAAGAGGGGCCAGAATTCTGACTCTGAGTCTGATGCAGTGTTGCCTCCATTTGTTTCCCAGTGGTCTGCTGCATGGGTCTCACATCCATTTTTGCCAAATTTCTACTCCCTTTAGCCACTGAGCTTTTGGAAGTTGAATGTTTGCCAAAGTCTGCATTTGCATATTGTCCCTTAGAGACATTTGTAGGAGTCTTTTTCCTTGACTTTTTTGTTTTGGTCTTTGTTTGTGCCTCCATTGGTGCCACAAATGTGGGTACACTCTGTGGGCTCAAACTCCATGATTTCTGATTGGGAATAATATTATGTACTTTTTTGTCAACTAATTATGTACATGTACTAACTTTCAGCACAAAATATACACTTACGAGATTAACAAAACTGTACAAATATCAAAAACTTACAAGCTGATCATCTGAACACCTCTGGAGATAGTCAGCTGATAGTCCAGTTGTTGCCACATAAGGTGTGGGTGTCACCACAGGCGAGTATGCACCCTCGTAGTAAGAGTTACTACTGACTCCATGAACTGTCACGACCGCTATAAAATCTTAATAATCGAATGTTATCAACAAAATTTTATATACTAATACCTCTGTTTATTTTGACTTTTGCCTTATATAATTATGCAGTACTTTCGAAAATATTAAATTAAACAAAGCTGGGTCTCGTATATTGCCGCACGGCAAGAATGTACCGACATCGTTATGACATTTCCCTTCGTCCTCATTTTCAGCTTATCCGTAACTATGATATACTCAAAAGAAATGAATTTAGAAAAAAAAATTGGACAATATTCAAATAATTTTAATACAACAACTCAAAACAAGGCGCAGAATGACAGTAAAGATTATTAAATAGAAGCACATGAGATGTTTCATAAGATAATATGCGGAAGAACTGAAAATTAGTGCTGAAAAGTAACGTTATAGCGACGTCGGTAATATTCTTGCCGTGCGGCGATGACAAAATGTATCATGTAAGTATAGTGTATAAGAATTATGTAAAGTATAGAATTAGTTTTTAAAATTTTGTTGATAACATTTAATTGTTTAAGATTTTATAGCAATTGTGAAAATATTATTGGATCAACCCTAGTACAAGAAGTATTATCAGCAGATCAAGCTAAGTCTGGTAATGAATTTATGTCCCCTGTCTAAAGACAAAACCCTACAAAATGAGATAATTGGAAGGAAAAAGAATGATTGATCTTGACTTTCACCTTTTGGCCTCAAATCAAAAGTGTTTTGTTTGTTTGTTTGTTTGTTGTTTTTTTTTTTTTGCTTGTCAGTTTTATTTTATTTTTTAGTTTTCTTAGGTAAGTTGTCAATTTCTTCTGGCTGCCCCTTTCAAAAACGATACTACGTTCCTGAAATTTCATTGCAAAAGCTTAGAGAGAAGTAAAGTTTATATGGAAACCATTTCTGCAACGTATGAACATTTGCCTTGACCCTCTAGCCTCGAAATTAACCAAAAAATTGTTTAAATCATTGAAAGTTCTATTATAATTTTTTTTTGCAAAAATTCAAAGAACAAAGTAACTTTTATAAGCAATCTCTGTGCCAAGTATGAGTTTTAAATATTTCTCTAATGTTTCTCTATTACAAAGTTGAGGCCCTCACATGATTCCAAGGACTATTGAACAGACAGACAGCTAGACTGAATTGTGATTTCTATATACTCCCCCCTTCAAACCTCGTTTGTGAGGGGTACAATAAAATGAACAGAAAAAAAGCACATAAAGAGATTATAACAAAATTATGGTTTTATCTAGACTTTGTCAACATACCTGTTGTTGTATCCTTGTCCTTGGTTGAGAAGGATACACGGTACAATTGGTGACATTAAGGTTAACTGCTTCAGTGCTGGTGACTGAGCGACCATTAGGAAGAACTGTTGAGGTTATGAATTGTTGTATTTGTTCATTGCTCAACAAAGATTTTGCCACCTGAAAAAAGTGCAGATATAAGTCTTAACATGAATTTATCTCTTAAATCTTATGTATGAACAATTCTCTGTATTAGCGTTTGTCTATTGCAAGCTTAGTAAACTCCCTTGACATTACCTTTTTAAAATTAAAAATTCATTTAAAAGGTTGTTAATTATATGTAAATGTTGTACTAGAAATTAACAACACCATTTGATGTAACTTACTCCATTTGGCCCCACTCTCCCAGCTGTAGGAGTGGACCCTATGTTATGAAATACTGCTTGACTGGCAGCTTGAATATAACGCTTTCTTGGTGGCTCAACCTGTTAATAAAATGAAGATACATGTAAATATGTATACTAATTTGCTTAAGTTACATAAATTCAGTCGAAATCGATTTAAAAATTATAAAAAAGAATTGCATAGATAATGGTAAATGGTTTAAATATAAAAAAATAATAATAATGAAGAATGATAAGGTTGAAGAACAAGAAGAAGGGAATATAAAAAGACAATTCGGAAAAGAAATGGATTTATATTACAAATAACTTACTTCTTTTTTTACACCAATGTATTTTATATATATAACAAAACTGAGACCTCCTCAAATTTCCCGGAAGTGTTGGATGTGGTCAAGATGTCCACGCCCAGCCTCTCGTAAATACTCGAGGCAGCTTCCGGGATGGGATGCTGTACATCCACTCTTTTCTGAAATGACAAAATAAATCAATCAATCAATCAATTAATCAACCAACCAATCAATCAATCAATCAATAAAATGTTTATTCTGTTCCTTCAAGAGTAAAATTAAAACCTTCTAGGAAAAGTTTTGTTTGATCTAAAACTTAGCAGTGATATCACTAATTTCTCCTATAAGTTTGATTTGGCTTTGATTTGAAAGCCAACATGCATTACATAGAAGTATCAAATAAACAAATGAACATTTCTTTTATTTTTTCCAATATATGTAGGGTATATTAATTAGTTTCTAGATAGATGTTGTCCATCCGGGCCTCCAAATATATGTCAATGCAGCTATTGAAAATATTGTTGATTCAAAACTCGTGGGAATTTTCAAACAAAATAAAACAGTGGTGGATCCAGGATTCTTTAGGGGTGGGGGGGGGGCAGGTGGGTTGGGGGGTGGGCAGGGGGTAAAGCCGCCTTAATCTCTCATGTTTTATGGGGATTTTGGAACGGTTTTTTGACTTATTTCCGCTATACTTTACATATAATTAAAAGAAAATGCAATATCCCTCATCTGCAGAACTGTAAGTTATGGTCAAAGACTAAAATATAAAACCATAACGCTACAGTTCTTCGGCTAATCTTATGTACATGTACTATATTTTTGGTCACAAAAAGAGGGGGGGGGGCTCTTTTAAATCCGCCATTGTACAAGTACTTAACGCTTACATTTTATAATTAAATCAAGTCTTGCTTTTAGAATGACCTTTTGGTCTCTTATACGTCTCTGGTCTGATAATGTTGATTATCCCGCGTTTCCTCGGATAACTAACATGAAATTAGGCCCTATGTTACTCCAAAGATCTAAAGCAAATTACTTCGGCTTTATGTAACTCAGATAAATATTTCATATTAATTAAAAGATGAACAAAAACCTTAAAATTTCATTGTTTTGAATACAATTATTGTGTGAACTTCTAAATCTCATTGCAATTTTTATAAGGAAATCTATAAACAGGATGCTACACTTACAATCAAACTAGGCCCAATCATTAATAGTAATTTTGTTTTGTTTTGTTTTTTTAAAGTTTTTGAATGCTCATAAATTTAAATAATTATAAGAGATAATGTCTTCATGATTAATATATTCCGTTCAGTCTTTTGCCTCATGTTTGAGATTTAAAATATGCCTCCTTAGCAACATGCAAGAGATTGAGTTTATCTTCTCCCCCCAGACGCAAACACATACATATATATCCATTACCCTCTTATAGCTCTGACTGTTCATTTCTGTAACTGTATCAACTGTATGTTATCAGATATTTCAGAAAATCTTCGCTCAGCGAAAATCACGTCTTATCTCAACAACTGATGCTGAAACAATGAGCTGTAACCAAAACACATCACACAGCCTAGCAATCGTGACGTCATCACCAAGACGACAATCAATGGAAAACGACAAGACTTAATTTTACATTCGGCAAACCTCGGCTGCTTCCGTCACCTTCATCAAAGGTACGAATCGGCCGAGGTGTGCCGAGTGTCTAATCGGAATTTCCTAGGAAGTAGTTCCCTTCAAAAAAAAAATTGTCGATTCTTATAGGTAGTAAAGATATTCTTAATACCGGTACATCTTCACAAATTCCAAGTCATAAGATTTCTCTATTTCAAACTACTTTCAATCAGTAAATAAGATGTTCCCGTTTTTAATTCAACTTCCATTGTTATTTTTCTATAAACATTTGAGCATGATTTCCTGAGATTTTTCCGGATCTCGTTTGTTGTCTGCTTTCTGTTGTGTACCAAGGGGAATTACTGTACATGTAAATGGGGCTTACATAATGAACGTGAATACTGAGTTATCCTTCCTGCGTTGGATGCTGTCTGCCGCTGCTGCGGTCGATCTATTTGTGGTTGTGTTAGAAAATGAGACTTAGGCCTACTAGTTCGGTAAAATAATTCGTTAATGAAAACATGTATAAAATCATGAGTAAGATATTTTAAAAACTCGCTTTAAACTAAGTTTTAATTGTTGTTATGTTTCAATTTTAAGTTCATTTCTCATTATATTTCATTTCATTTCATATATTGCCAATACTATCATACATTGGCATATAGTCATGAATACAACAAACAATTAACATACATCAAACTAGTTCTATTAGTAACGAGAACCGTTACAGATGTTCCCCAAACGTTCTTCTGCTCCACTTTGGGCCCCATTCCCTACAAGCTTCATTAAATTAGGCAATTCTTTTGTTTAATAAATCTACACCTGCGGCCTTGGGCAACATTTTTATATTCAGGTCCATGTTGCCCTCATACAAAGTCAATAACTGTATATTGTACTATATATAAATCAAAGTAAGGGGGTTATATTTTTTCCTGTCGCGATTTCATAACGTCAAGTACCTTAGGCTGTAGTTTTTTCTTAATGAAAATATTAATATTTAGAACTGTTTGTCAATAGGATAGGCCGGTGCGCCCATGGACAACCTTCACTCCTCCGAATTTTCTGATAAAATTAATAAAATAGACACGAAGAAATAACTTTTCAAAAATACATGAATGCCTAGCATATCATACCTACATTCTGATATAAAGAACAACGCACGCTAACTCTCGATTCCTGCCTACATTTTACACCCATTTAATTCAATACTTATGGCAAATTGCCATAAGTATTGAATTAAATGGGTAATAAAATCTTTGTTTAATGCAAAGAAGAGTTCAATGGTAATTGATTAATAATTTTGATACCAGTGTTAAATAGTTAATAATCTTAATTCTTAATTCCAGCTCTTTTTATAAGTTGGGTAGACGATATTTTCCATTGAAATCGGGCTTGAAAGCATCAGCATATTTTAAAATATTCTTAAATATGGATAAATGTTCCTGAAAACTTTTCTTATGTTTATATTTTTATGCATATAAAATTAGTCATATGTAATTGATAAAATACAAGTTGTAAACCCCTTCAAAATTTGTGGAAAAATTGAGCATTTTTGTCGGTTTTTGACTATAAACATATGCCCCTCCCCCCCCCCCCACCCCACCCCCGTGAAACGCAAAAAGCTTTGGTATGAATTTGTGAAATAACAATCCATATTAACTGTAAAAAGGAAATTTTGTTTCACGGAGGGGGGGGGGGTGTTTTAAAAATATTTTCCGTTGGTTTCTATAGTGAAAACACAAGTTTTGCCAAAAATATAGAGTTATCTCTCTTTGTTTTCCCAAATAATTAATGTTTTATGAAATTTCATATAAATATCAATATAAATGTGAAAAATCATTCAAATACATGTATGTTAACTTTTTTATATCATATACCTAGTAGTGTATCAACCCTGATACAAGCTTATTGGACTAGATGAGGCAGCATCTTTGCGGATATTCAGTAAGATTATAAGTAGATAAAACTGTGATATCATCATGTATAAATCCATGTTGTTTGCTGCAAATGTCCTCTAAAATTGAATATATATATAAACTTGTCAGGAAGACCTCTTTTAGAGGGAGCGATGATCCATGCAACAAAGTCGCCCGAGAAAAACAGTTAACGGACGTCTATTTCCGATTTAATAAGTAGAACATTGAAAAGACTTTCGCAGATATCGGATCTTGTCTTTGTGGGAAGGTTCTGAGCATTTTTACATTTAAAATGTTGAAAAACATTCAGGCGTTGGTAATCAGTTGTAGAAAGGTTGTTCCATAGCTCACAACCGTGGGGGCAGTACAACTGACTTTCAAAGATGTGATAAGGTGAGCGGATTAAGGTAGATTCATCCAATATCGTAAAGTGCGTAATATGATTTTTGCATTTTACGACATGCTGACAGAATTTTATCCGAAAGGTTGAGTTTGTTGTCGACAATGATCCCTAGGTGATTATATGTTTTGGAGCAAGGAATTGTGGTGTCGCCGAGTTTCCAATCGCAATCGAGATCTATTTTGGAACCTTTGGTACGGATTTGTAGTATGTACGCGAGTTTGAGCATTGAAGGAAAAGCTCCAATACATGCAATACCATCTGCTGGTGTGGGGCAATTACTAGTTGCGCCAAATATGCCGGTATTTATGTTAAATTTTTCGAGATTGACAACAAGTTCATTAATATACGCACGATATATAAGATGTATGACAAAACTCCACTTGTCGTACTCCTTGTAGAACTGGAAACCATGGCCAATTAGATTGTTTTTGATTAACAACGATTGCACGAGATGCATACGTATGACAATCTTTTTTCAGACTGTAATAACAAAAAGTTGTTTATTTAATATTTATTTATGATAGTAAATATTATCGCGAAACCTTTTTTTCGTTTTTGTTTGGTAATTTTTATTGCATAGGTGGGTTTTTTTTATTATTACCTTTTTAAATTCTAGTTTCTTTGTTCATTGTTTTGTTTTTTTTATACGAAAGCCTATTAGGATCAAACTACGGTAAAAAAAATATAAAAGGCGTAATAACGCCTTTTGGAAAGGCGTAATAACGCCTTTTTTCGCGTTATAACGCCTTTTGGAAAGGCGTAATTACGCCTTTATTTGCGTTATTACGCCTTTTTCCGCGTTATAACGCCTTTTGAAAAGGCGTTATAACGCCTTTTAAATTTTTTTTACCGTAGTTTGGTCCTAATAGGCTTTCGTACTTTTAAGGGTTTTTAATCATAATTTTTTATGTGGATGAGCGTACATACCTACACAGATCGATACACGTATTGTATATCAATACAATACTTTATTATACTGTATTGTATAGAAAACTGAAAGAAAGATATTATAACGTTTCAACTTTTTGGATTATCATGTCTGCACGTGCTCTTCACTTCCTAGCTATTATACCTAAATTAACAGTCTCACTGTAGTTTCACTGAAGTGTCGACCGTGATGCGTTCAGGGTCGTAGCAGCTAGTCTACCTGCTACGCTAGGTATCTTGAACGCACAGTATGAATTAATGCTTATTATGGCTATAGACTACCATACCGTTTATGATCTTATCTCTGAGTAGAGTTACGCAGTGGCATAAACAGGATTCTGAATGGGGGGGGGGGGGTTGGGGATCGGGATGGCGCCCAGTGGTGAAGCCGCTTAAAGCTGTCAGGGTTTTTTTTTTGTTTTTGTTTTTGTTTTTGTTTTTTTTGAAGAACAATTTGTATACTTATCTTAGCTACATTTTAAGTAAAACTAATGCAATATCCCACACCAAATTTTTTGTTATTAATCATGTATATTTTTGGTCTTTAAAAAAGGGGGGGTCACCAGCCCCCTCTAAATCCGTCAGTGCTTCAATCTTAAACGTATCCCAGAGCTACTGAGAACTTCTGTAGGGTAATATAGTATGATGAACACCGAAAAAAAAAGGCTCCATAAAACTGGCAGAGTGAAGAAGGTAGACTAGCAAACCAAAAAATCAGCTCAAAGTACCTCATACAAGCGGTATTAAAGAAAGTCCGGATAACCACGTAGGACAGACTGACTGAACATTGGGGGATTGATGGAGATGATACCTAGACCTCTTGTTTCACTCAATTGTTGGAAAATAATGAGACTAAAAATCTTTAAAAAGATAATTGTCTTTATCGTCCTCACGAGGGCTCATTTCTTGAAGTAAGATGATTTTTTTTTATTAAAGTGAGCCATTTCAAACTCGATACTGTTGCTATAGACAGGTGAAGTGTGGAAAACGTACATACCTTCCTCCTCCCCCCACACACGTACAACTGCCAAAATATATCGAACTTATAATTTCTGATACATATGCGATTTCCCAGTCAATCACTTCAATATTTCATTCTGTGTGAATAGTTTTTAGCTCATCTGAGCTGAAAGCTCAAGTGAACTTTTCCGATCACCTATTGTCTGTCATCCGTCTGTCTGTCCGTCTGTAAACTTTTCACATTTTCAACTTCTTCTCAAGAACCACTGGGCCAATTTTAACCAAAGTTGGTACAAAGCATCCTTGAGTGAAGGGGAGTTTAATTTTTTTAAATTAAAGGGCCAAACCCCCTTCTAAGGGGAGATAATCAAGAAAAGACAAAAATAGGGTGGGTCATTAAAAAATCTTCTTCTCAAGAACCACTGGGCCAGAGAAGCTGAAACATATATGGAAGCATTCTGAGGTAGTGTAGATTTTAAATTGTTCAAATCATGACCCCCGAGCGTAGGTAGGGGCCACAATGGGGAATCAAAGTTTTACATTGAAATATATAGGTAAAATCTTTAAAAATCTTCTTCTAAAGAACCACTGGACCAGAGAAGCTGAAACTTATAAGAAAGCATCTTGGGGTAGTGTAGATTCTAAATTGTTCACATCATGACCCCTGGAGGTAGGATGGGGCACAATACTTATTACAAGGTAGAAAATCTGGTGAAGAACAGTAAGACCAAAGATACTCAGGTGAGTTTTGTGGCCCATGG